TCTTGAATATATGCTGAATCCTATTAACTGAGATGGGATTTGACTTAATTAAGAGAAATGAAAACTTTTTTTGGTCCATCATTTATCAACAATTATTGAGTCAGGCTCTGTTAGGACTCCTGAGGTATAGCAATTAACAAAACAAAGTCCCCCACTCATAGAGTTTACATTATAGGGTTCTGCGGCCATGGATATTTAAATTTAAATTAATTAAAATTAAATAGAAGTACATACTCAGTTCCATTGCCACACTAGCCACATTTCAGGTACTCAATAGCCACTTGTGGCCTAGAGGCTACTGTATTAGAGCAGATACAGAACATTTCCATTATCAAAGTAAGCTCTTTTGAACAGTTCTGCTCTAAAGGAAAGAATTTGCTTTGTAACTTGACTAAAGTAATGATTTGTTAGCAGAGTATGAAAAGTCTGGGTAAAAGGAGAAAGAAAATTCATTAACAGATCTCAGAATGAAGAGATTCAGACCATGCACCAGGAAGAGTCCAGCTGGACTGGTTCATTCCTAAATCATCTTCTGTCATCATCATAAACCACATTCTAACCTCCCTGCCCAATTCCCTCTTAAGTAAACTACATTTTCTGCAACTTCACTGTCTACACTATATGTAACCAATTAGGAATTCCTCATTCTACATTAATGGTATTCTTGTTTTGCAAATCAATCTCATGAGTTTGGTAAATACTAATCAATTTCCCTGAACCTGACCCCCAGTGAGTAAAGGTGAAAAACGTCTAAGCTGAGAACCAGACCCTTTGCACTGTGAGTACAGCAAGGACTACTAGCTGCCTACATTCTTCCTTAAAAACAAAATCCTGATTTTATTTAGGGTGGCAGTCAACCAGTGTCCATGAACTGGAAGACTAGTTTGCAGCCTTCACTGCAACTGGATGGATCCATGTAATTGTTCAGTGGGATTGTAGCCAGGGCACTGGGGTACTCCAAACAGTCCAGGTTCGGCCATTCGCCACTGACAAAATCCAAAGGCAGAGGGATGAGTGGTGGTGAAACAAGAAAGGAGTTTATTTCAGTGAGGCGGACACTGGGAAGACAGAGGACTACGGTCTCAAAGACGGTCTCCAAAGCGCTGAAAATACTTGCAGGTATATATAAAGAAAATGTGGGGCAAAGGTGGGTGGGTTAAGTGCAGGTGGGCAGTAAAGGCCAAATCCATCGTCTTGGAGTCCATCAAGGGTGGTGTCTTGCTAGCTCAGGGCAGTCCTTATTGCTTGAGAGGGTAGTTTTGATTCTTATCAGGGGATGCTTTGCCTTCAGGCTCTTCCGCCTGAGTGGAGACAAGCTGGAAAGAATAACCCAACTAGAAAAGTTTGAGGTCAAAATGGAGGCCGACTAAGTCCTCTTTTAGGACTTCTAGAATTGCTCCCTAGGAGGGAAACACACGCTAGAATGTACCTCTTTTGTCCTTCCCCTTTTCTTGCAGCCTGAAAGGTGGATGTGATGGTTGGAGTTCCAGCCTCTACTGCAGACCACATAGGTGGTGAAGAAAGGAAAATCCTAGGCCCCTGATGCCCATGAAGCTACCACATGAGTCTGGACTGCATATCCCTGAATTTTATTTATATGAGAGAATGAATAAACCCGTATGTGTTTAAGCTATTGTAGTCAATCCCAAAGTGATAAAAGGGGGAACTCTTCTGAGGTGCTTTTCTCATGTGAGGGCTTGTGTGCAGAGGCCAGAAGACATTTAGACCTCTTTAACTGCAAGAGATACCAAGTCATATCCAGTTGTAAAATTTAGGACAATCTTAGATTTTGTTAGAAAACACTGAATAAATCATGTTAAGAATTAAAATGTTATAAAAAAATTTCAGCGGCGCCTGGGTGATTCAGTCAGTTAAGCATCCGACTTTTGATCTCAGCTCAGGTCTTAATCTCAGGGTTATATGAGTTCAAGCCCCACACTGGGTTCCACCCTGGGCATGAAGCCTACTTAAAAAAAAATTCAAATGATGCCAAAGTAAAAGCGAATTAGCTAAAGACCAAATCCTTTCAATTTTGTCAGTGGCTTGCAATTAGTAACTTTCCCTATTTGCATTGCTGGTGTTCTAAGTAGGTATTTTCAAGATACAGCACAAATTTTTAAAAAAATATTCATTCATTCATTCATTCATTCAGTGAGTGAGTAAAGCGATAAGTTTATTAAGTGAAGATACAGAAAAAGCTCTCAAGAGTGACAGGGGTCCTGACAGGGTTGCCCCAGCACAAATTTTTTATTTTTATTTTTTAAAAAGATTTTATTTGAGAGAGCGAGAATGAGAGAGAGAGAGAGTACGCACACATGAGAGGGGGGAGGGTCAGAGGGAGAAGCAGACTCCCTGCTCAGCAGGGAGCCCGATGTGGGACTTGATCCTGGGACTCCAGGATCATGACCTGAGCCAAAGGCAGTTGCTTAACCAACTGAGTCGCCCAGGCGCCCCTATTTTTTTTTTAAAGATTTTTATTTAATTGACTAAGAAAGAAAGCACAAGCAGGGGGAAACAGTAAAGGGAGCAGGAAAAGCAGACTCCCCGCTGAGCAGGGAGCCCATGATCTCAGGACCCTGGGAGCATGACCTGAGCTGAAAGCAGATGCCTAACCAACTGAGCCACCCAGGCACACCCCTCCCCGCCCTCCCCCCGACCCGGAACAAATTTTTTAGATGACAGGGTGGAGCTTACAAAATATCTTGAAGTTCAAATCAGATTTTCCTAAGTTTTTTTTTTAGGATTTCTAGTTTCTGAATTACCACGAGCTATTAAACATGAACCCAAGATAGAAATCTCTTGACACAAGTCGAATTCTTTCAGTGAACAATTAGTGTTGTGACTAAACAGAAGAACGTCTTTAATACAACACATATCCACTAAATCCCTAAATATTTCCAAATAACTAATTAGAGGATTAATGGAATAGTTTCAGGAATGTTTTGCAAAGTAATAAAATTTGGGGGAAAAAAAGTAGTAAGATTTGGAAAGAATTATGCATCCAAATTCAACCAATATTTATTAACAACCTACTGAAGACACCAGACATTTTTTCGTTGCCTTATTTAATATCCCCAAAACCTTTTAACTCACAAAAATTCCGTTTTATGCTTAGGCTTAGGGAGCCTGGCTTTCCCAAGGTTACAGGACCAGTAACAGACAAAGCCAAGATTCAACCTAGGGTCCTTTGACTCTTAACTTCAGTACTTTTTTTCACTATGGCTTTTATAAAACTTGAAAAAATGTTTTTAATTGAACATAAAACTGGAGAAGAGTGGAGAGAGCAGTTTAGGGATACGGTATCAGCAAATGGAAATATTTCTAAAAAATTTGAAAATGTTAAAGCCAAGGAAAATAATTGAAGATCTGCCTGGGATAACCTGTTCCACTCATATATCCCAGAAATAATCAAGAGGTTTGAGAGATCCTTCACAGACATTCTGTCAGAAGATGTCAATTTGTTTTCAAATTCCCTTCATGCCATTTTTTTAGCTTCCTCCCAGTTACCGGGGGTCCTCTAGGGTGTCCAGTGCAGCCCTGGACCACATCTTTTTGGGAGGGTACTATTTCCTGGCTCTTTTCCATTTTGCCTTCTCCATCATCTCAATTCAGTTTTGTGCTCCACTCTTTCCCGAGTTGCCTTCTCTTACTACGCAGAATGCTTCGTTATTAGATTTAGAAAAAAACAAAAATGTTGGCTGTATTATAATTGCCTGATTTTTTTTTTAAAGATTTTATTTATTTGACAGAAAGAGACACAGCGAGAGAGGGAACACAAGCACGGGGAGTGGGAGAGGGAGAAGCAGGCTTCCCGCAGAGCAGGGAGCCCGATGTGGGGCTCGATCCCAGGACCCTGGGATCATGACGGAGCCGAAGGCAGACGCCTAAAGCTGAGCCACCCAGGCGCCCCTAATTGCCTGATTCTTAGGAACAAAAATTTATGTGAGGCTAGGACTGGTTTTAACTTGTTCACGATTGGGAGATCCGTGCAAAACCAGGTGCTAGGGACCCCGCAGAGCATAAAAGTATTTGTTGAATGTAAACGGAGATGCTCTCCAGTTTCACACAAAAAGGGAAATTGTTAACCTTGAATGTTTGTTTTGTACCTTATAACTGGGTCTAAAGTCCACATAACATTTGGGCAGGTAGGAAGCTCCCTATTTTTAACTCTCTAGCACTTAGGACATAATTTCATTGTCATCTTAAAGCGACACTATAGTCCTTTTTTCAAACAGAGGACACAATTCAAGGCCAAGTGCAAAACAGAAGGGAAACTTCTTCAGCTGTTTGAGGAATCCGCAAGCTTTCAAATACGGATCTCCAACTGGGAGATGGGAAAGCTGTGCAAACTCCAGAGACACCTTACGTCCTCCCAAGACCTTGCGCCCCCCCCCCCCCACGACTAATCTCAGAGCGCAGCTGGACCACCTGTAGCCCGGTCCCCGGACTCAACTCTGCCCCACAAAAGCGTCCGAAAACTACTGCTGGGGCAGCGCCTGGGCCAAACGCTAAAACGTCCTCCGAGGCCTCCCGAGAACCTAGAGCGAGGCCAAAAGTCCAGTCCCCTACCCTCATCTTTTGTGGACAGCCTCGCGGTCTCTCCAGGCCCCGACCCTCCGTAAACGCGAAGTTGACATTTTTGTTCCCAGAAATGGGTGCGAGCTGCGCGGCGCGAGGCGTAGGGCGGAAGCTTGAAGAGATTCCATCTAAGCCCCACCCAGGTCCAGCACCAACCAGGGCAGTCCGGCAGGGTAGGGAGGGGGCAGGAAGCCTGCTCCGCCTCCCCCACCCTCCGCACTAGAGGCCCGGGAACCTCTTCCTCCCCTTCTCCACCTACCACCCCATCGCGAGCACCACGCAACGCAGCACTGTGTCCTCGGGCCAAGTCCCCGGATGCTCACCTCCCCTCACCGGCCCGTGCCGTAGCTCCACCCCTCGCGCGGCTTTGCGTGTCGCGTCACCGCTTGCGGCACTTCCGGAGGCGCAGCGGGCGATGACGTAGGGGGACGTGCCCTCTATATGAGGTTGGGGAGCGGCTGAGTCGGCCTTTTCCGCCCGCTCCCCCCTCCCCCCGAGTGCCGCTCCGGCTGCACCGCGCTCGCTCAGAGCTCCCGGCTTCTGCTAAGGTAGTGCCGCTGTCGTCTCTCTCCAGCCGTCGTCATGATCATCTACCGGGACCTCATCAGCCGTGAGTCGTGACTGCACTACCACTACTGCCGCGCGCAGGGGACAGGGTTGCGGGTGGGGGCGGGGAAGAAGGACGCCGCCACTGTCGTGAGCCTAGGGGACGCTGGCGGCCTTTCCGGGAGCGAGGAGGGGTCGGTGCCTGGGACACGCCTCGGGGTCTCGAACGCCCGGGGAGGAGCGGGGTCCGCGTGCGCCTGGCCCGCGCGGGAAATGGCGGCGCCGGTTCCAGACCTTCAGGCGCGCCGTGACGGGCGGGTGTGTGTCCCCGAGCAGATGATGAGATGTTCTCCGACATCTACAAGATCCGGGAGATCGCGGACGGGCTGTGCCTGGAGGTGGAGGGGAAGGTGAGTCGGTCGGGCCGCGCGGCGCGGGGGAGGCAAGGCTGGGCAGGCTCGGGTTTCCGCCGCTCCCCCGCCCGAAGTTGTGCAATCCTCTCCGCTGCCTCCTGGCGGAGGAGACGCTCCTTCCGGGCTCGGGTTTTTCTAGAAAAGTGGAGGCGGAGCTGAGCCTGGAAATAGGTCCGCCGCCTTGGCGCCCATCCTCCTCCCGGGCCGTCCGGGACAGGTAGGCTCCGGTTAGGGAGTCCTAAGCCCTTCAACGTTTGCTCTACATGTACTTGCTCATCAGCCCAGAAGCCCACATAGAACCTCTACTTGGATGTAAATGACCCCGTTTTCCTTCCGGTCAACAAAGAATTCTTAACTGAGTTACGATGTTTCAGGAATTTCAGGCGGCTTGAGTTTTTTTTCTTCGTAACAATGTTTTAGTGGTTTTGGCAAGAGTCAAAAGTGTTTTGGTGGGAGGATGATGGATATGTGAACTGCTGACACAAGATTTGGGGGATTCCTTTAGCTAAGGTTAAAAACATCTGAAACCGAACTACTTTCTTTCTTAATGCAGATGGTCAGTAGGACAGAGGGTAACATTGATGACTCGCTCATTGGTGGAAATGCTTCCGCTGAAGGCCCAGAGGGCGAAGGTACCGAAAGTACAGTAATCACTGGTGTTGATATTGTCATGAACCATCACTTGCAGGAAACCAGCTTCACAAAAGAAGCCTACAAGAAGTACATCAAAGATTACATGAAATCGTAAGTGCTGCTGGTGCCGCCCACCTACTGCCCGCAATCCTGTGGGATTCGGGGATAAGCTGCCTTGGAGGGTCTTTAGCAGCAGGCTTACTTGTGAAAGGCCTTAACCTTTTCTGTTGTGAGCTTACAAGGTAGGCGCTTTTCCATAAATAAACTAACGTGAACATCCTGGAGCATGCAGTGTGGTTTTAGCTTTTTAGAAGTGTACTTTGGGAATAACATGAAATCCAAAATTGTGAACAGTCTTGAAACTTTGATCCTGTGAGCTAGTGGTTTCTTGATTGTGCCATATGTTAATCTGGCCCAGTGACAGCTAGTTGTCCTTTTCAGTGCTTGCTTGTTTTCGTTTGGATTTTTTTTACTGAAAAAATTCGTTTTGCTGAGAACTGAGTACTTTAACCTATTAATAAAATACTGTTTTAGAATCAAAGGCAAACTTGAAGAACAGAGGCCAGAAAGAGTAAAGCCTTTTATGACAGGGGCTGCAGAACAAATCAAGCACATCCTTGCTAATTTCAAAAACTACCAGGTAAATACCGTAAATGTTTGTGTCAAAGATTTGTGCAATTTAGCTGCCAGAGCAACAAATTACTTGATGAATCTTTGATGTAACCTGGCTGTCTCCTGGGTCTTTTGAACAGTTTAAGTACTTCATAGATTGAATTCTAGTAGCCTAGGCTGTGGAAAGTAGCCTTACCTGCTTCTAAGTGTGTTTCTAGATCTTGTCTGCTTGATTCCAGAATCTCATCCCTGTTCACTTCCCAGAGGACATTTTTCATTTCTCCCTGTCTAGAATTGCTTGTTAATATCCTAAGTGGTCTTCCAATCTTCTTTTTATTTCCAACTCCAGTGTCTCATTACCACTAGAGTTCTTTCTACACTTGTTCTGTTGGGGAAACTCAATGACTTCCCCTTATCTCTATAGGAGTAAAGAAAAAACTCATTACAGCCTGGCTCTTTGATTTTTCCAACTTTCACATGTCCTCTGGCCATAAAGATAACTTTATCCATATGATGTGCTCTCTTCGTTGTACCCTATGCTTGATGATGTAAACAGGCTTTTACAGAGTTTGGAATTGTATGTGTGGGGTTGAGAGAATGTGTTTGCAGAAAGTCTAAAGTGTTCTGGATTGCTCTGTACTTAACTTTGGTCAGTTGTTAGTGTTCTCATTCGGTGAACAGAAGTTTGGTTAGAATTTTTTTTTTCTCCTGGTGAAAATTGCTTAAATTGTGGTGTTTTGAATCCTCCTTTGATTGTTTTATTGTAGTTTGTTTTGATACGATCTGTATATAACGGTCTAATTCTGGGTATTTGTTTGCTTCCTAAGTTCTTTATTGGTGAAAACATGAATCCAGATGGCATGGTTGCTCTGCTGGACTACCGTGAGGATGGTGTGACCCCATATATGATTTTCTTTAAGGATGGTTTAGAAATGGAGAAATGTGTAAGTATAAGGAAGTGGGTTGAAATCCATAATGTAAAAATGGAGACCTCTGTGATTCCTTGTTTCCTGCCCCTGGGATAGTTAGAATGGGTTTTACAGCAGTCTTTGTAAAACGTAGGTATATTTCTTGTTTCTTTCTGGGAGTCTAACAGGGTTGTGTTTCACATGTAAAAGATTTTTACGGGACAGAAAAGGGACTTAGAATTTTTATATACAGAAAGTTTTTCTTGTAGGTGGCTTAAATCACTAAGCTGGAGATCAGAAACAGCACCCTGTGTTGATCTTCCCCCATAGAAATGGTCCTTCTCTTCATATTTTGCCAAGCATACGTGAATGGCATGTATGGCATGTGAAACCTTTTTCACTTTGGTTTACTGATAATTGACAACTGGTCATTGAAAGCCTTGATGTTACTAGCTTTTAGTAAATAAAGTTAGAGGTGGCTGCTTACCCAATATGCAAAATCCTTTAGTAAAATTAAAGGAATGTCTACTATGCAAGGAATTTCTGGAGGCAATACAGAAATGAAAGCATTCATTATCCTAGCTTTCAGAGGCTTCCATGTAAATTAGGAGTAAGATCAACTTAAGGCTACACTAAATAAGGTTAGAGGCAACAGTGGACAAAAATGCCTTAGGATGGTACGGATGATTTGCTAAGGGGTTTATTCCAGGAATATCTGCGGTTTTTGTTGGTAGAACAAAAAGTATATGTACATATGAGTGGGGCTTGCTTCAGAATGAGACTTCTAGAAAATGTGCTACCCCCGCTTTGGTAAGGATGGTTGTGCATCCACTGATAGACCTTGAACAATTGGCTGTTGTTCTTTTGGTTTGCACTAGGATGCGAGAGAAGAAAATCCCTGCGCTTTCTGTCTGTCTTTGTGGCAGCCCAGATTGAATAGGGGAATACATCTGCAGCATAGAAATGTTAAATATTTTCATACCAGGTAAAAGTGTTAATACAGTCTGTCTCGTTTTTACAGTAACGAATTCGGCCATGACTTTGGATGTGTCACCTGTTGCCGTAACAGGCTGCTCCTCTTCATCCACACAACACCAGGACTTAGACAGATGGGACTGATGGCATCTTGAGCTCTTCCATTTGTTTTGACCCTGATTTATTTGGAGCGGAGGCATTGTTTTTAAGAAAAAAAACATGTCATGTAGGTTGTCTAAAAATAAAATGCATTTAAACTCATTTGAGAGAATGCCTCTTAGTTTAACACATATTTAAATCCATCCTGTGTAGTGTCCTGGAGAAGCTAGAGCCTGGTCGTAGACTACTGCTAGAAAGCATAAGACTGCCTGCAGATAACTTCTACCGTGAAAAACTACTTCTGGGACTGGAATATAAAAAACAAGAATCCAAAAGTCTTAATTCTGAGTTCAAGTAAAGGGAAAGACCATGCTCATAGCTGGGCCAACATTTGAAGTGGATTCCTTACACATTTCATCACCTACCAACGGAAGTAGTTAACTCTGGAGGAGATTACCAAAAGAATAAAAAGAGACTAATGACAGTTGGAAGCAAAGTATTGTGTGATCTTATTTGTCATAAGTCAAGTAGAGCCAAGTTCTAGAGAAACCTAGACGTCTCCTGGAATGCTTGTGTCAAACTCCCTGGAATGGCTTGTCCTGCCACCTATTTTTGTGACTTCAAGGTGGTGTTTCCATTTTTGAATGGTTGGGAGAAAATAGGTGGTGGAATGTGAAAAATATGAAACCTAAATTTGTGTCCGATTTTACTGCGCCCTGCCATGCTCATGTTTTTATGTATTGACTGGCTCTTAACTGTTAAGAGCAGAGTATAACAGAGACCTTAAGGCCTACAAATCCTAAAACAGCTATGTGGCCCCTCAACACAGGTTTGCCTTCCCCTGCTTCCAAAGATGAAGTTCTAGGTGGAGTGTGGGCCCAGGAAAATGCTGCTGTTGTGTCCTGTCGTGTCTGAAAGGGCTGTGGGTGTCAGGAGAATAAGAAAAATGCATCCGTTTGACAGACCTGGAGCAGTTTCTGTCTGCTGCTAAGGTTTCCACTAGAGATGCAAGAAAAAAGTGTCCTCGCGCTTTCTGTCTGTCTTATTATGGCAGTCAAGATTGAATGGGGGAGTACAGGGAAAAACCAGAAGAATTACTGCAACTCAGAAGTAACCTTGTCAACAATGAAATTGTTTTATTCCAAAGTATCTGAAATTTGAGTTTATGAGAAGTGCTACAGAAGGATTTCCCAGACCCTTGCCTTTTGATTAATTCCACTTTTAAAAGCTTAAGGGTTAAAACTAAAAAGAAGGCAAGCCAGTGAGTCATCTGGTCCTATGACACGTGAACCCAGGGCGAATCCAGTGATTTGGGAACCTAGAAATTTCAGAGTTCATGATGCGATTCAGAACCTGAGACATATTAAGATTGGTAGTGCCCCCTGGTGATGAGTGGAAGTAAACCCAAATACTGGAAACTAGTCAAGCTGGTGGCAATTTTAAGCATTCTCATCTGACATTAAAATAGAAAAAGTGCCAGTTGCTGGTCTAGGAGACCACTTGGCCCTCTGAAACATTAGGGAAAGAATTTGGGGGCAGCGGTCAGTACTATGAACATGACCACCTGATTGTAAAGTCTTATACCATCTAACCTGAAACCGGATTGAGTGAGCAAGCCATGGAAAAGACTGGAAGAACAGGAAGTGCAGAGGCTTTGTAGGAAATGAGTCCAGATCAGTCCAGCCTAGGAATGCTTATTTTCAGTCTTTCTAGTTACTCCCAGTTAAGGGTCTAGTTAAGATACTTGGTGCAAGAGTAACAGGTGATGTGTACTTTATGGGCATGTCATTTTATGTCCTTAATTGGTGTTAAGCTTGATAAAGTCTTGTTCCTAGTGCCCTTTAAGCCCTAGGCTTTGTTACACGTTTGGAGAAAAATTGTAAAAGGACTCTGATGGTGTCTCTGAAGGCCTTTGTAATGTGATTTGAATAGGAAAGCAAATAGGCTATGTAGATATCTGGGGGCAGAACAGTCCAGGCAAAGAATAGCAAATACAGAGTCTGAAGTGGAGTGTGTTGACATGTTCTAGAGACAAGGTGGCCGGTTTGCTGGACCCACGATGACAAGAGAAAGGGTTAAGGCATAGAAGAGTATCCAGGAAAAGAGAAAACCAAGTCATGCAGGAAGGCCATAGGAGGGTTTTGAGCAGAAGGGTGACATGATCTGACCTAATGAACTGTACCCAGTTGAGTATTTTACTTGGGAGGAGAGGTCTAAAGATTTAAAGAGCTACTGGGAAAATCTCAGTGCATGACATTTGAAGCCAAAACTGGGTGAGATCACCTAGAAAGGATAGACTCAGCCCTCCGACTTGGAGCTTGAGATATGGGCAGCATGATGACCTGGCAAAGTGATTCAGAGGAACTGTCCCTGAGATAGGAAAATCATAGGAGTGGTCTGGAAGTCAAGTGGACAGTGTTTCAGGGTTAGCCAAGATGAGGACCAAGTAGGCGAACTTGACAAGTGTGTGAACAGTAGGGGAAGAAAGCAAGACTATAGTGTATAACAAAGTATGTGTTAATATGCTGTCTGTAAAGCTTCTGGTCAACAGTAGGCTATTAAAGTGGGGAGTGGAAAGTTATGTGCAGAGTTACTACTGTGGGGAGTTTGCAGATAAAGTTAAGAATCATAATGATGGTAGTTTATATTTATCCCACTGAATTCCTCCAAATCCATCCCTTAGTGCAGCAGTGGTATGTCTGATTATAATGCTTGTTGGCAGTCCAAAGCAGGTTTTTTTACTATTGTGGGGGCATGTTTTTAACTACTGGAACATTCTAGCATACTTTCTGAGAGCTTGTAGATAATGGATTTGTACTATTACACATGGTTTCCTATTATAGCCTGGAGACTGGCATACAGGATTCCTCCCGTACACTGGGCTATGCGAACCTCAAGTGGATGTTTTAACAGGAGTCCATACAATTCAGTAGAAAAATGTCAACCATGAGCGTAGGGGAAAATTCTTTCCAAAGTAATTGTTCAATGAGGTTCCCTTCAATTACTGACGCCTCTCCTCCACCCCCTCCAGGATACACTTGACATCTCCCTTTGTTCATATATACATAGTACTGAGCTAGTGGTAAAGCAGGAAGCATGGAGATGGGGCAATGGAGTGCTTTTGCATGAATGCATCACAGTTTGAGGTGAAAAATGAGAATTCAGACATCAGGTGACTGGCTAGAGGGGTCCTCTGGGGGGGGGAGGACAGACCACAACTGACTAACCAAGAGTGCAGTACCATTAGTATTGTAGAACTACTAGACATTCAGTCCTGAGTTTGTAACAGTTTAACGCTAGAAATCTAGTCTTGTACTTGGTGATTTTCTTCATAGGTAAAGACAGCAGATAAGTTCTAGTTTATTCTCAAATGCTACTTGCACATGGCCTCACCTAGAGCATAGGAAAATAAAATCACTCTACCCAGAGTGGTAGAGAGCTGATAAAATCACAGAGAAAGTTAGTACTTTGAGGACAAGTATTCAAAACAGCTATACCTACGATTTCCATTTTCTCAGGTACATTAATTTAAAAGTCTCCCTCAGGAACTGCCAATTTGTCCTGTAAGTCAAATAGCCAATCTAATAGTCAACCTTGGGGGTGGGGGATTGGCAAGTGAAACGAGGAAGATTACTATGCATGAAATTTAAAACCTGAACACCTCCTTTGACTGCCTTGAGGTGAAATAATGCGTATCAACAGATGGCAAGTATAAAATTGGAAGCTAAGGAAACTCCCCTCAGTGGCCTGCAATCAGTGTTTCTCCCCATCACTTTCCTAGCATTCCACCCTTCCAAAACGTACTCTGTCGAATCAACGTGATGGCAATCCACACTGATGGATTTTGTCAAGGGGAGCACGGGTGGGGTGTCACTTGGTGACTGCCATCAACCGGCAGGACAGTAAATACCACCTGCTGGCATCTATTAAAAGCAAAAGTGACAAAGCTTTTGAAACTGGTTAAGTAATGTGCAAACTGTTCCACTCTGTTCTACAGACAAAGGAGGAGGGCTGGGTGTGAATGTGAGACCAGCTGATTTTAGCATCCCAAGAGCAATGTGGAGGCTTCTTTTCTAAGGCAGTTACTAAACCCTCTGGTTTATGGGGCTGTGAGAGTTGTGCAAAACTCCCAACTACCGTTTAGCTTCCCCTATCACTAGCCTGTGGTGGTTTTGCAGAATATTATTTTCTAACCCCTGGGGTTGCCTGCATCTGAAGCCCCTTCCTACACCTGCATTTAACCTGGCAACCCTAACCATGCATGCTTCTGCTTCACAGCCTTTGCCCCGGCTGTTTTCTCGGTCCAGATGCTTTTCCCATGTAGCCACGTGGCTCGCTCTGACAACCAAGTCTGCTCAAAGGCCATCTGGTCAAAATCAGAGAGGCCTTTTCTGACCATGCCATTGAAACCTACACCCCCCCACCACACCCTCTTTGCTTTTTTCCTCCATGGCACTTCTCACCATATAACATACTATGATTTTACTTGCTTACTGCCTTATCGTGTCTCCACTCCACGCAAGCTCCAAAAGAGCTCAGCTTTGAGGCTCAGTGCTGTATCCTGAATGTTCAGAATGGTGCCTGGCACTCAGCACCGAGGTGTGTTGGTCACAGAATTAAAGGAATGGTGGGAGATCCTACACACGCTGCTGAGCTTGACCTGGATATGCTGCTTTTAAAAAATACTTCATATCCTAGTCTAAACTGATGCATTTAGTGATCACAGCGAGAACATCAGTCCCTTGCCCCACCTCATTCCTGCCAGGCTATTTTTACTCTCCCAAGACACATTCTGCATATGTGCTGTTTCTTTTTCTTTTTTAATCCTTATTTCTAAATAACTTGCTTCAACTATTATTTCTTTTTTTCAGTTTCAGAGTTTAAAAATTACCTGGGGTGCCTGGGTGGCTCAGTTGGTTAAGCGACTGCCTTCGGCTCAGGTCATGATCCTGTAGTCCCTGGATCGAG